CATTTAGCAAAGAAACATCAATAGATGCTAAAACTAGTGGATGATACTCAATGAGGAATGGGATATTACTTTCAAAATACCTGCCATGAAATGCCAATTCGTTACAAAAGAAAAAACAACTTGATAGTGGTAAACCTGGCAAGCATCACTTAATCAAATGATCAAAGTTAACATGACCAGTAATGGGACAGACTGAACTGGGTACCACCTGATATAATGGAGTGCAAAGAACCTAGCATCACATCTGTGATATTCCTGGAAAAAAAAAAATACATATCAGCTAAATGTTACACATGATCATTGATTGGATCTTTTTGCTTAAAAGGACATTACTGGGACAAGTGGCAAAATTTTAATTGAGTTTTTGGATTGTATGGTAAATGAGTGTTAATTTTCCGATTTGGGTGGTTATATTGTGGTTTTATGGGAGAATATACGTATTTGTAAGGCATTATGCTCTAAAGTATTCAGAAGTGATAGGGCAAATGTCAGCAACTTGCTCTTACTTAGTTCTGGGGATGGGGGGTGATATTTTTACCATTCTTTTATCTTCCCTGTAAGTTTGAAATTATTTCAAAAATAAAAATTTATCTCTAGCATTAATTTAAATGGCTTAGATCATAGGTAATTGGTTGATGCTTGCTTCTCTGAATTCCCACTCTGTGTCTGCCTCTAGAGACTTTTTTTGCAGCTTTACATTTTTTTAAGATTTAAAAAGAATCTTAGCTAGCATTGTTAGGTATTTTGTAGATTGTTTCCCCCAAAATTTCAGGATATGGCAGACTGGCAGTTGTCCACTACTATCCATTTCCCTCATTTTTAGTATCAGCATTCCCTGAGTATTTCACTACACACATGGCCACCAAGCCAGAGACTTCATTCCCCAAGCTCCCTTGCAGCATGGTATGGCCACGTGATTAAATTTTGGCCAATGGGACATGGACAGAAATAATGGTACCACTTCCAGGTTATACTACTTAAAAAAAAAAAAAAGCACACTTGCTCTCCTGCCCTTTTCTTCCTACTTGCTACTTAGGAGATGATACCTGGAGCAGTTGTCTTGACCCAGTGGTGGAAACCACAGGAGAAGCTGGTACAGCCACCCTACTGTCGGGGTCTATGTACTTCTAGACTGTTTCTTGAGAGAAAAATGCACTTCTGTCTTGATTAAGCTACTAGTATTTGATCTCTGTTATAGTGCTACCCTAACTAATAAAATGTAAATGAAAGGACTGAGGTACCACCTGATTTGGGGGAAAGGGGAAAGGAAGAAAAATAAAGACTCAAAACCAAAATAAAATGCTTCTGGTGCTGGCCAAGATGGAGTAAGGGCTCTACAGCATTTCTCTTCAACTGACGTAACTGAACAGATTATAAAAAGCAACTACCTGAGGACTCTGAAAAGGAAACACTAGCAGGGGGATCGTGTAAATAAATCAAAAGCTGAAGGATGACTGGCGTAGTGACGAATTTACTGGGGAATTTATTCCTCTTCTGGTTTGACCTGAAAGCAATCTACGATCCAGAACGACACAGAAAGCCTAAACTCAAGAGAAACCCCCTCTTTCTAGCCAGAGAAGCAGGAAAAGCGTTCCATATGAGCTAGAGTATAGAGGGAAAGCCCTTTTTTTCCCCCTCCCTGGTAGGCCCCAAGACCAACTGCAGTCACGAAGCTGCACAGTGGCAACAGGAAGAGCAGTGGTGGTGGCATTCGAGCACCTAAGACCCTGAGAGGTCCTGTCTTCCTGGCCAGAGGAAGCAGGGAAAGGGACCCCGTGGTCAGAAGAGTGTGGGAGGAATCTCTGTTATCTGTTTCTGTCTTGTCATCCACTAGCTCCCCTTTGAGAGAGCGAAGGGAGCTAAAACTCCAAGAGAAACTCTGGCTTTAAAGCCGGACGACTGGGAGTAAGAGACTGGAGAATGTGAAAGGAATGCCAGAGAGGAGAAAGCTGGAGAAAGAGACCCCTAATTCTGTGTACGAATTAGTACAAGTCTCAGGTTTACTCCCAAGCGGCACACGTGAAAAACAGATCCAAAGAAACACAGACTTTGAGAATTGAACTGACATCACAACGACTACCCACAGAAGGTGAGATAGCACTTGCATCCTGAACGTCAAGATTTTGCTTGCTCTAAATAAATACTTAATAAATAAATAAAGATCAACATTCTCCAGCGGATTTTAACAAGGTGGGGCAAATAGTTACCTTAGTTTCTTGGGGTACCTCAGAACAAGACAGTCTGGTTATGACAAGATCGGACCTAAACATTCCTCAACCCCCTGGTCGAATACCATTATAATACTATCTTAACCACGAATGAATTCCAGCAAACTATGAAGTACTGTGAGAGGGAAAAATTAGGTTAAAACTGTGTTTATCAAACCGAAAATTATCTGTTTACACTAGTAGATTGTTAAATCAATTTTGTTCAGTCTAATCAGAAACTTTTTTATGAAATAAAATAGAAATTATCAAAATGCATTGCAGATGGGTAAATATAACCCTGTAAAACTTTTGTCTCAATTACATGTGTGGGCATAGGTTCTGTGTTTCAGTATGAAATGTATTTCCTTTATTGAGTCTTACTCAAAAAGTTTTGAAAACTACTGGAGTATGTGCTTTCTAACAGCCATTCCAATTCTCATCTCACTATTTTTATGAAGAGTCAAAAAGGACGGCAAAAGTGGACATAGTTCTCTAGAACTGAAAGGGCATTTTCAAAAGCAAAGTCCTACACTTTGCTCACTTTTGATAACTTGAGCTTGTTATAACATTGAAGGAAAGCCATCCAGAGCAGGAGTTCTTAACCTGTGGTCCAGGTGATCTAGGAAAACTCTAATTATATGCAAACTATTGTATATGAAAATGTGCATATTTTTAGGAAAGAGTCCAGATTTTCCATCAGATTCTCAAAAGAGTCTGTGACCGTCCAAAACATTAAAAGCCACTGAAATTGGGCATCCTTTGATACATTAAGCTGGTCTGGCAGTGTCGTAGTTCCAGAAATGACAGAGCTTGATGATAGTAATTCAAATTGATTTAGAAAAAGACATTCTAATTTGAGTGTGGCCTCATAACAAGTTTGAGCTAAAACAATATTAGCAGTTAAGATCAGTGAAAAAGATATCAAATTAGGAAGACTTGCTCAAAAAAAAAAAGAAGACTGTGCATTCTTTATTGTATGAAATCAACTGTTTTAATGAAAGACTGTAGTAACATTTGATTCTTAAAATGGTTGAATGATTTTTTTAAATTATGTTTTATAACCTAACTCACATAACCATGTCTCCATTTTAGCGTCAATAGACAGGAGCACAGGGCTTTTTTTTTTTTTTTTTTTTTTCTGGCTGCACGGCATGCGGGAATCTTAGTTCCCCAACCAGGAATCGAACCCACGCCCTCTGCAGTGGAAGCACGGCGTCTTAACCTATTTCTCCTTAAAAACTCAGCTTAGGCCTCATCTTTTCCAAAAGCTTTCCCTGTCAGGCTAACCTGACCGCAAGGACTCCACCTTACTCTTCCATAGCAAGAAATGCAAAGCGCTATCAGGTATCTACCTTGTTACAGGGAGATTTTCTAGTCCATCTCCCCTCTGCACTACATGGTGAATGCTCTGAAGGCAGGCAGGGACTGATGAGGTCTTAATCTCCAGGTCACTAGCTTGGTGCCTGGCACACAGTAAGAGTCAGTACTGCTACCTGCGGTAATAAATTATAAGGTCAGTTCCTACAGTAAAAACGTCTATGAAGTTAGATCTTTTCACCACCTAAACATATCAAAATTGCCTAAAGTCTTTTTTTTCTTTGACAAGGCAGTCTATATTTTTTAAAAATATTCATACAATACTATTATAGTGATTTATTATATATTAGAGACAGAGAAATACTCCAAGAATGGAGCAGGGATGAATTTTAAGCAAGTCAAGCAGTCCTGGGGAAAGGCTATTGTTTTAAATATGGCTTGGTGGGGATGGAACCTGCATGGAGGGATCTTCTGAGGAAATGGAAGGAAGTAGTAATGTAGGGAGTGGTGGGGGCAGGTTCCAGACAATTCCAGTCACCAGGGAGCATACTTGTTTCCATAGAAAAAGATAACATTAGCAACAAAATTTGCCCAATATCAACTTGAGTAGACTACTTTCCCCTTAACCATTCAGGGCTCAAAACATTCCTATTTTGTATCTGGAGTAGGGCAAAACAATGTCTCAATATGGCAGGTAGAAAGCAAAGCGTCTAAGGGACTTTCTAGCCAGCTTTCGTACCTCAGAAATCTAGACATCACTCTGCTTTGTTAATTGTTGCACCTGAGGTGGTAGGACAGGGCCGGGAGAGGAAAGACAAAGGGTGGAGGCAAATGAAGCAAGCTGTGGTTGAGAACACACACACCTGAACTGAAAACCAGTCCCTCAACAGGAAGCTATTCCTCTTCCACCGCACATACAGCTTAAGAATAGATGCAAGGGAAGCAATGAGAGAAGAAGATGGACCCTGGCAAGGCAGCCAGGCTCCCCTCACAGGACACAACAAACCTACAGTCGATCGTGGTGCAGAAATGCCTGGATGGTGGAATGGTTGGCCGGAAGATCACCAAGAGAAAAATATTCCCTGAGGTCCCAACAAGTCCCGGGTGTGTTATCAGCTAGAAAATTCAAGAAGCATTGCACTGGCCACTGGAGGCAAATGGCCTAACCTACCTTTGGGAGGGTCACACATCCCCAGGCCTGGAAAAAATCGAGAGTTGGGGGAGGGGTGGTAAAATTCACCACTATGGGGCTTCCCTGGTGGCGCAGTGGTTGGGGGTCCGCCTGCCGATGCAGGGGACACGTGTTCGTGCCCCGGTCCGGGAAAATCCCACATGCCGCGGAGCGGCTGGGCCCGTGAGCCATGGCCGCTGAGCCTGCGTGTCCGGAGCCTGTGCTCCGCAACGGGAGGGGCCGCAACAGCGAGAGGCCCGCGTACCGCAAAAAAAAAAAAAAAAATTCACCACTATGAATCGTTATGCCCAAACACGGAGAAAGTATTTATTACGACACTTCATTATAGATGAGGAAAAGATGAACTTTCTTAGACAAAGTCACAGAGGGAGTGGCAGGGCTGGGTCAGCAACACCCCCTCAGCCAGAATGAAGCTGGGCGCGCCTCTCAGGCCTGACTGCGGCAGGGTTGTCTGGGGCGGGATGGGAGGAGGACAGATGGGGAGAACCTGTCTGTAGGAATTCCCTCTACCCCTGAAAGCACCCAAATGGCACAATAATTTTTTCTCCTCTAAAGTACAAATATGTAGTTTCACCATCACCCCTGCACGTTTAAAAAAGAAAAACTTTCCCTAGGAAAGGCAGGCCCAGACGTTGGGTTTTATACAAACAGCAGGGAGCCCTGCATGTACTTATTCAGGGGCCACACGTTGCTCTTGCCCACGTTGGAGGGTCGCCTCTGGCACTGCTTGCACCGCCGATACTTCTCACACTGGTCCAGGAGGAAGAGCTTGCTGGGGGCCCTGTGGAGAGGCAGAAGAAGGGGTCATTCGCCGGCGTCCCCAAGTCCTTACTGGGTGCCTCGCCTGGAAGCCGGTGCAATGGAAGGGATACAAAAGAAAAGTCACACCTGGTCCCTGCTCTCCAGGAGCTTACGGCCCACCTGTGATTTCCCACCTGCAGTCTCTCCCCTCTACGCTGCTACCTTGCTGCTCGCCCCAGGCCAGGCGTCTCCTGCTTCTCCTCCTTCCTTAGTGAATAAAAGGCTCTATAAGGTGCCTTCACAACAGTCTGACCCCAGCCCTCCCCCCACACCCACGTAAACCCTCAGAGAACACAGGACTTGCCCAAGGTCACTCAGCCAGCATGAATGGGATGGTGACTCCAAAGCCTCAGTATTTGTGGCTTTGTCCCGTGGATGCGCCTTTACCTGTCAGGCTTCCCCGGGAGACAGCATTTGACAGGGAGATCAAGCCATTAAGCTGCTGGTTAACACCCCAGCAGACAATGAAGCGTAGACTTCAATGGAAAGTCCCAGGGGGCCAGAGGCCTCTGGAGAGTTAAGGGCAGGAGAGGAAGTGAAGACGTAGAAAAAGAGGATGAAAGCAGCTAGAAGCAGAGATGAAGGGATGACAGTGACTGGTTTTCCACTTCAACAGTTTTTCTTGATTGTGCAGGATGTGCACAATCCCTGATGTGTTCCCCTACGTTATCAAAATTTCTACACAGTGGGATTCTGTAAAAAGCAGCATCAATGACAGCCTTCAAAGGAAAAAGGACAATCTTGGGAGATTGGGACTAACATATATACACTAATATGTATAAAATAGATAACTAATAAGAACCTGCTGTATAAAGAAAATAAAATAAAATTCAAAAAATCAAAAGAAAGAAAGAAAAAGGACAATCTTGGCAGTAGGCAGGGGAAGACCTACCTGGCTTGCCTTGGCGATGGGACTGAGTATCATGAGCTAAACTGCATACAGGTGAACCTTGTTTTTGCTTCTGCTTTGTTTTCTTTTTAACACCAACCAATTCCTCCTTCCTATGTGCTGTCCACTTGAGTCCCTGCCCACAACTTGGCCTAGGTCTTCAGGTGAGAGGACTGCTCTGCCGTGTCCGTGGAACAGCTGGGCTATCCTGCCACTCAAGGTTATGTCATGTCTCCTCTACCCTTTATCACCATGTTAGCCAAGCCTTCTTCCAAAATCCAACTAAAATCTCCCTCCTGACACTAATCTCATTGCCTTCTACCTTCTTTCCCACAACATTGAGAAAATGGCTTGAAATACCCAATTCCCCTTTCCCTTCCTCTTCCCTAGGCCAAACAACACCACTTCTCCTTTGGAACTTATTTTCCATATCATCTGTCATACTTCCATTGTCACAAAATATGGGTTCTACCCATTAGAAAGACAGGTGAGAAATGCCTTAAAATCTAAAAGGAAAAGGAGAGTTTCAGATCAAGATCCACTATAACAATTTTTTCTATGATAAGAATTCATTGATAATTGGCATATTGAATATTATTTTGGTATATTCAGGTTTTAATAACATTTGATTGCCTAGACTTTGTTTCTTCAAGTTTTCAACATTCTATGAAATCACACCTTCCATTTGTAAAGTATTTTAATTTTTGAAAGTGTAATAATTTTCCAACTCTTTATTTGATCCCCCAAACTCCTGTGTTAGCCAAGCCAGGCAAATGTTCACTTTCCCCATCTTAGAAATAAAAAAAGTAAGGCAAAAAGATTAGCTGCCTCTCCAAAGTTAGTGTTAATTCTCCAAAACATCTGGATTCCCCAACTCTAGATTGTAAATAGATAGTTGGGGAAAGTGAGCATGGATATAATACATTTCAGGAAGACGTTCTTGGTTGGGCATCTCACTTTTCCAATTGCCAATCTTACCCACAACCCCTTGACTCTGCTCTTACGAGAGCATCCCATAAGCCTTAGATGTGTTCAGACAGAAACACTTTCTTCCTATTTCCAACTAATTATCTCCAAAGAGAATTCCCACCCTCCTTCGCACACAGCCCCAGGCCTCCCTAGCCTCCACAAAGTGAAAATGAAGCTACTACACAGAGGCAATGATTAGGGCAGAGATGGCAAATATATAACATGCAACACAGCATTCTCCATCCCATGTCCACAACGGACATTTCTGACATACCATAGCAGTATTTCCCACTGAACCCAGAATTCTTTTCTCACAAAGGTCTCTAGGCAGCCACCCCTAATAAACTGAAGCTGACACTTAAAACCTATCTGCCATCCCTGATTAGAGGAAACTAACAAGATGCAGAGGGGATTTTCAGGTGCAGTCAGCTACTACCGCTGGAAAGCCTTCTCCTCCAGGTCCCGCTGCTTCTTCAAGACAGCACTCCTTTCCCAGTCATCCTGTAAGTCTTGGTAGATTCTGCTCACTCGCTCAAGCTCAGCATTTCTGTCTGCCAAGTGCCTAGAGAGAACAGAAGAGTCTGAGATTCCATTCATAATACTGGGAAGGGCGTGCACCAACCTTAGGAGCCCCATTCCTTTCATGCTAAGTTAAACAGAAAACCTGGTTTTGTTCGCCACTCTTTGAAATAGACTAAGGGGCATGAACACTGTAAAAACATAGCGAAACTCCTAGCAAATAATTTGTGGGTCTAGGACCTTTCATCTTCAATCCTGGTTTAAATTAGCAGGATTAAAACCTTTTTCCAATTAACACATTCAGCCTTTAAAGCCATCAATTTCCTTTGAGGCTAATTTAACTGATCTGAAGATTCATCTCAAATGGATTTCCTATACTTTGCTTCCTTCCTTTCAGTCCAGCCTCTCAGCTGTCAGTAGTCCGCCCACCAGTTCTGCCAGATGTTTTACAAGACAAAGTAGACAGGTGCATGAATGAATGGTTAGAAAGGGGGAAAGAAACAGAAATGACTAAGCAAAAGAAAATGAAATCGAGAAAATATCTAACGTTGTGAAGAAGAGTAAAAAAAAAAAAAACGTGTTTGGTGAAGGTCACATCATCAAAGAAATGACTGCAGTATAATATCTCTCTTCAAGCACAGTGTTCCAGCATTCCCAATGTTAAGTGTTTCTATTACTGGTCTCTAAACATGTAGTCACTGCTCTGTGAATCACCTTAAACCTGGTTCAATATAAATGTGTCTATTTCTTGCCAAACTGAAACTCTTACAGTCAGTTCTCATTAAATTCTGGAAGGGACTTCACTAAATGTGACCCTTGATTTAGCCTGCCTACTCTGAAGGGTCTTGTGTTACAGGTACCAACCGCCACTAGGTGTCAGGACCCGCCGATAAAATACTGTAATGTGCTCTGTGCTGGTTCACTTATTCTAAAATAGCATGGCCCCATTATCCTCTAACACGCGTTGATTCAGTAGCTATTGTGCGGTCACTATAAAGATTAAGTAGGATAATATACAGAAAGCGCCAATGCCTATCACACAATGGGAGTTCAACGACGGAATGGTACCTATTATATATATTTTTTCATAACCTTTTTTATCTTTTCACCGTTTTTTAAAATTGTAGTTAAAAAAAAAAAACCGCATAGGGGCTTCCCTGGTGGTGCAGTGGTTAAGAATTGCCTGCCAATGCAGGCGACACAGGTTCAAGCCCTGGTCCAGGAAGATCCCACATGCCGCGGAGCAACTAAGCCCGTGCGCAACTACTGAGCCTACGTTCTAGAGCCTGTGAGCCAAAACTACTGAGCCCACATGCCACAACTACTGAAGACCAGGCACCTAGAGCCCGTGCTCCGCAACAAGAGAAGCCACCGCAATGAGAAGCCCACACACCGCAATGAAGAGCAGCTCCCGCTCGCCACAACTAGAGAAAGCCCGTGCACAGCAACAAAGACCCAACGCAGCCAAAAATAAATTAATTAATTAAATTAAAAGAAAAAAAAGCATAATATTGACTATCTTAACCATTTCTAAACATGCAGATATATAGTGTTAACTATATTCCCACTGTTGTGCAATCAATATCTAGAACTCTTTTCACCTTGCAAAACTGAAACTCTAAACCCATTAAACAATGACTCCCTATTTATCCCTCCCCCAACCCCTGTCAACTACCATTCTACTTTGTTTCCATGAATTAAACTACTCTAATTACCTTATATAAACAGAGTCATACAGTATTTGTCTTCTTTTTGTGGCAGGCTTATTTCACTTAACATAATGTCCTCAAGGTTCATCCACATTGTAGCATGTGTCAGAACTTTCTTTTTAAGGCTGAGTAATATTCCATTGTAAGTGTATACTGCATTTTGTTTATCCTTTCATCTGTGGTTGGACATTTGAGTTGCTGCTATTTCTTAGCTATCATGAATTATGCTGCTATGAACATAAGTGTGCAAATACCTCTGAAAGATCATGCTTTCAAATCTTTTGGATATATACCCAGAAGTGGAGTTATTGAATCACATGGTAATTCCACTTTTAATTTTTTGAGGGACCACCACTGTTTTCCATAGTGGTTATATCTATTTACATTCCCACCAACAGCATAAAGGGTTCCTATTTCTCCACATCCTTTCCAATGCTTACTATTTTCTGTTGGTTTTTTTTTTTTTATAATAGCCATCCTAACACATGTGAGGTAGTCTCCCTCTCTCTCTCTCTCCCTCTCCCTCTCTCTTTCTCTCTCTCTTTCCTTGCCAGTTCTAGTTTCCTTTATCTTTCCTCTTTACGTCATATATATTCACATCTTAATGGTTTTATCTAATACTGAATAGACAATTTTCTTCCTTCCTAACCTTTTGAATGGTCTAAAAGAAGTACTTGTTAAATGTTTCATGGTGTATGTGGTGTAAGAAAAATATATAGTTGTTCTTGTTTTGGACATTTCACAAGGCAATTAAACCACAGATATTATAATCCAAGATAAATGATATGTCTTTGCATTTATGAAATCTTTGCATTTATGAAATCTTATTACACTATTCTGCAAATGTATAAATGTTTTCTTTTCAGAAAAAAAAACATAGAAAAAAAAGATAGCCATCTTATCCATGTATGTCACACTGATATATATATCCTAAATAGTGAAAGACATTTTCTTACATCTGCATAGGTGTTTTGCAGGGGAAAACATGAACAATTTGCTGACTGCTTACTCCATTCAGACTTCCATAGAGTTGGCATTCCTGCATTCTATATTATTGGAATTAAATTATTAAATTGTGTAATATAAACACAGCCGTATTTTAAATCTCACATTCCTACCTTGCCACCTTTATTCACTGGAGTAGAGAATCCCTGTGTCACAGGTGCACATAAGTAAATATTCAATAAAACATGGAATACCTCTTATCTTGGAGAGAGGCACACATAGAGTTAAATGTTAAATGACCTCTAGTTCCAACAGTGCAAATGATGACAGCTGACAGTTGAATAAGGGTCACCCCCACACTCTCACAGAGCATGGAAACCATTTGTTAATGAGCAGCTATCTCTTTGTGGTTTTGATTTGTATTTCCCCAGTGATTACTGATGTTGAGAATCCTTTCATATGCTTTTTGGCCATTGTTATACAATTCTTTAAAGGATAGGTTTAAAAGTCAGTTTACTTTAAATGCCTAGAAAGTAAGAACACGAAGTAAGATTAGAGGGGAAGCAACTAGGATCCTCCCAAGACTGATGGTGGAAGCAAATTGCTGTACTTTTTTAGAAAGCAAAGTGTCAGTATCTGGTAGTATTTAAAATTTAAAATACACTTGATCCAGCAACCTCACTTTTAGGAATTTATCCAGTAGAAACAGAACAACCAGTATAAGGAAAAATAAGAAAAATGCTTAATGCAGAATTGTTGTAATAGCAAAATACCTGGAAAGAAAGTGAATGTTCATCAATGGTGCAAAAGTTAAACTATATAATCCATATTATAGTATGCTGTTATTAAAGAAAAATGAATTTCATATATAGGTACTGACCTAAATACAAATTAATGACACATTATTAGGTTAAAGAAAGGTTGGGTTGCAGAGTAATGTGTAAGATTTCACAGGCCTCATTTTCATTTACAAAAATGGAAGGAAAAATATATATGTGTATATTGCTTGAATATATTTATAGAGAACAGGAAAAAATGTAGAAGGCTAAACTTAACACTGACTACTCGGTAGGGGAGATTATTAGCCTTATTTTTTTAATCTCTCCACTAACTGACTTAATGAGCATGAATTGTTATATTTTTTAAAACAGAAGCAGAAAAGTTTAAAGCAAAAAAAGTAAAACAAGTAAAAAGTAAAACAAGTAAAAAAAAGTGAAACAAGTAAAAGTAAAACACAGACTAAGTCATTCCCTCTGAAAGAAAGTGACCTTCTAGTTGCCACAGGAAGACCTAAGATCACATCTTGAGATGGACCGAGGATGGGGAAGTTGGGAAAGAAAAGAGAAGAGAATATGGAATAATCAGTAAAGGATATAGAAACAAAAGACAAGGATCTAATCCATATAAAAACGGGGGTTTACGACCAGAACTCCAACAAAAGAGATAACCAGATAACGACCATAGTTTGTATTTGATCAGAGCTCTGAAGTTTCCAGAATGCTCTCACATACATAATCTCATTTAATCGTCATAGTGAGGATAGGCAGGGCGGGTGTGATATCCTTATTTTTCATATGAGGAAAAGAGAGCTCAAAGACCCCACGTGTGATATGGTCCAGGTCACACAGTCTGGAAGTGACAGAGTTTAAACCCTCCTAACTCCACGTTCAGGAGAACAGCCAGAGAAGCTAAGGAGCAGAGGAGGAAACTGCAATAATCTCCGCAACACATGCAAAGGGTCCCAGATCTGGCTGTGGCAGCATGCTCGGAAAGGCAGACCCACTGCGGGGCAAGGGGCAGCTGTTTGCTATGAAACAAGCTCCTTACAAGAACTTCATTTGACCCTTAACCACCTTGGAGGTAGTATTAGTATTCTCCCTAATAGCTGATGAGGAAACCAATGCCCTCAGGGGGCTGTAACCTGCCCAATCCCACACAACTAGTAAAATGGCAGAACCGCATATCAATCTATCAGAATGGAGACCGGAAGTGGTCTTGGAGACCCCAGGTAGTCATCCATTCGGTAAAAGATCATGGAGATGTGGGATGGGGGATCCCAGGGAGGGGCAGGAGCAGCCTGGGAAGCAGGGATGCACTTGTAGGGCTTGGGGCAACAGCTGTTAATCAAGAAGTATGGAAATATTTCAGTATTTTAGCAAACAGTACAGACATACAAGTATACATTGCCCTGGGCTGATGCAAGACTCAGTCCCCCATCTGATTTGACTCCAAAAGCCATGCATTTAACTACTCTCACCTCTCTACCCCAATCCAACCCTACCCTTATCACAATATCCTCCCACCTTCACCCAATTATTCTACTCATATATTCCGGTCTGAGCCTACTTGCTATAGAACATAACAGATCTTTGCACCATCCCACTGACCTTTTGTAAAATTTATAAAATTTTAATATAATAACTTTTTTTCTTTTTATAAGTACAACTGCTTTTTTAAAAGAGGAGATTCCTTTGAAGAGAAGCCCTCTTGGAACTCCTGAGAACTTTGATCAAGTATCTGAAAATTGCTGAACATCTACAAAGAAGAAACTGTAGTTCTCTGTGGCAATCAGAGGGTGGAAGCGGGAGAGTAGGAAACATGGGAAATGGGAAGACAAGAGGAGCCTAGGAGATGTTACAAGGCTGAGGGCTGGTCAGGATCTTAAAAAATTCCCCATTTGTGGGGTAACAAATGGGTACTTTAAAACAGTGGGTGTCTGATGTTTGAGTTTAAAGGTACTGTGCATTGCTATGGCATAAAGTCCTCCTCTGCCTACCCTGACACCTTCGGCACCCCTGCACCAGCAAACATCAGCACAGCTTACTACACGCGTGGTTCTCTGAAGAAGGGGTTTAGTGGAGGTTGGGAAAGGGCCTCAGTTTCATGTTTGTGTCCACTTGAGCAGGACAGTACATTTGTGGCTCACATTGTATTTCCAGGTGACAGTGCTGGGGTGGACAACTCTTTTCAGACATTGTCCTGTAAAGGGAAAGAAAACTATGGAAAGGTAAGTAGAGGGAGAAGTGGGATTGAGAGAGTTTGTTTGTAACTTACGGTTAGCAAAGGGGAAAGGGGGTAGGGGAGGGATAAATTAGGAGTTGGGGATTAGCAGATACAAACTGCTATAAAGAAAATCGATAAACAACAAGAGAACTATATTCAACATCTTATAATAAACCATAATGGAAAAGAATATGAAAAAAGATAATGCATTGGGAATTATTGTTTATCTTACATTATATATGTGTATAAATATGTTTATATACACATGAATACATAATATTCTTTTAAAAATGACTTTGTTTTTAATTTAATAACTTTTGTGGGGGGGGGGCCTCTCGCATTGCGGAGCACAGGCTCCGGACGCGCAGGCTCAGCGGCTCCGCCGCATGTGGGATCTTCCCGGGCCGGGGCACGAACCCGCGTCCCCTGCATCGGCAGGCAGACTCTCAACCACTGCGCCACCAGGGAAGCCCTAATTTAATAACTTTTCTTCATAGGGTGAATTGTGGGGATGAAACGAGATAAAGCACATGACAAGCTTAGAATAATATTTTGCACATAGTAAGTCCTCAATGTGTTCACTATCATGATTGCTTCTCTGGAGGGGAGGAGAGGAGGAGGAAAAGATCCAGGGTGTCTTACTCTTTGTGTGTCCTCTGAAGCATCAACAAATCCCACTTTTGGTCCACCAGCTGGTGCAAGATGGCTGTCTTCTTGCGGTTAGCGGCTGCCTCCACCTGGTGCTTCATGTAATTCTGTTCTCTCTTTCGCTTTTCCACCATCGGCTCACCCTCCTCCTTACCAAAGATAGGCTCAGAAGAGTCTGGCTCAAACATGGGCAGCTGGGGGCATTTGTTCTTTATCTGAAGCGGGGACACACATAATGTACATGATAATTATACCAGGGAATAGACTTAATGCACAAGGCCGTAGCATAGTAAAAACCAGCACCTCAGAGGAAAGAACAAGGGCCTCAGAACCACCAAATGGATAACACATAAGAGTATTCATAACATTACAGGATTTATACATATTTTTAGAATGCTATTGAAACCCTGAAAAAGTTTAAAGGAATAATTGGCCCCTTACCTGTTCATCCAAAGCTCTCTTGTAACACTGTGTTTCTTCCATCTTATCTTTTATATATTTGGCTCTTTGTGCAGCAAGTCTGGCAGTTATGAATAAGAGAAGGTGGGACCACAGTTTGTTATAGAGTGTTTAGTAATACAGATTAACATCAACAAAACATGTTTAATAAATATTAATAGGAATAAGAGCCTGATGAAAAGTGATATTTCCTTCTAGGAGCTTTCATTTTAAGAAAAAAAAAGAGTAATTCAAATCCATAGACTAGTGGACAATGTGTTGGACAGGGATGGATGGGCAGGTATAAGCAAGTGACCAACCATATAGTCCAACTGCACTATCATTAAGACAGGCACCCCTCCTCCCCCCCATGCTTAAAAAAATCTAGATAGGAAAGCAGGAAGTGTCTCTGCATGCAATACAATGACTCATCATAAGATTCCTTTTTAAGAAGAGCGGTCTTTCCTATTATAAAATGAATCTATTATATGCAACCTCCACATGATCTGTAAAGTGAATAAATATAATGGAACATATGCATTTTATGGAAATAGTTTTTTGGTCACAGAAACTAGATTCTTATTTGTTTTAGGAGTTTCTCTCACACCATAGTAGCCTCCTTAATTGCTCTCCTGACCTCAGTAGCAGAAGTATGGCCCACTTAGGCATGTTTGAACTCTGTGGCCCTGACCCTACCCCAGGCCTCAGATAACCCAAGCAGGACCAATCAGATTCTCTTTCCTGAAAATTTGGAATTGAGACTGAAATTCATCCAACTGTGAGCTGGAATACAGACAATGTCAGCTAAGGAGCTGGGGTGTGAGCAGACGGAAAGCTTTTTTTATATGGGTTTTAGTTCCTGGTTCCAGGCTTCCTGGGTCCCCCATACATTCCTGCCCTCAGGTTCCATAGGACACCCTTCATACTTATAATACAACTCAGCTTTGCCTTGAGGCTACCTGGGAATAGCTGGGAATGAAGCCTGCTCAAGACAAGTCCCTTCCTCCGTCTACCAAGATTAGTGATCACAAAACAATACAAAATGATACTCTGTAATTAAAATGATTATAGACAGCAATCATGACTCTAACGATTACTCTAATAATGCTGGCTTTTCCATGTTTCTAACGAAGTGTTAGGCTATGGTACTGGCTGCTAGCTGGGTTAGTTTGCTCAGTTGGTTACAGTTGTCCTAATGAAACTACCAACGCTGATCCAATCCCACATGGAAAGAAGCATCATGTGAACATTCCGAATCCATTTTTCAGAGCATTTCTGGCTAGACTCACTCCTCTGTCAGCTGCACTTGTTCCAGGCGGTCCATCATCTCTCTGTTTTGTCTTTGCTTTATGTCCTTTTCCCGTCTGTGACCCATTTGTTTCAGGAGACTTTGGGAATATTCCTCTTGCTTAAGAGCATTAATCTCAGGACTGAGTGGCCGTTTATCAAACAAGAAGGATTTCTAGAATGAAAGAGAAGCAACTCATTTATTCAAGAATACTAAAAAGCAACAAAGAATAAGGGTAATCATTCAGAAGACTAAAATCAATCAGAAAGCCTTGATTAATTTATAATGTGTGCTCAGACCTCAACACATTGACCAGCTAGTGACCCACAGAATCATATGAGTACGCTCAGGGATGAATCTGAGCAGAACTGAGAGGGAGACGAAAAAGGACTTCACGGAGTAGGCCCTCCGCTAGTACTTACAACTTGCATACTGAAAGGAGGAGGAATTCTGAGTGAGTGCAGAAGCATGAGCAGGGACTGCGAGGAAGTGGAAGAGGGAAAACTGAGCTCCTGCTCTGAGCCTAGCCACGCTAGACACTGGGAACCCAGCCATGATCAAGAACAGCGATCCACAGAGAGCCTCACGCTCATTGAGCCTGCATGCTGGTGCACGAGACAGACAGCCAACAAGCAAACCACACACAGATAATTTAAGGTAGTGATAGGTACTATGAAGCTCTTCTCATAGCGAGTGTCCAGGTGGGAATGGGGCTAAACTGGTTATTAAGGAAGGATTTTATTAGGGAGGTGACTGAATCACCTCCACTGCAAATATCAGGGGACCGGTGTCCTATACAGAAGGATCAGCAAGTGTAAAGACACTAGATGGAAACAAGCAGAAAGAAGGTCTATGTGGCTGAGGCATAGTGAGCAAGGGGAGAGTAGAGCAGATGAGCTCAAAGAGGGAGACAGGCCAAACCAGGAGGACTTGATAAGTCAAGGTAAGGCGTTTGGATTTTATTTTAATTCAGTGGAAGGCCATTAGAGGCTTTAAACCAGAGAATGATCTGTTTTGGTGAACAGTTTTACATTTTTTCTTTTCGGTACGCGTGCCTCTCACTGTTGTGGCCTCTCCCATTGCAGAGCACAGGCTCCAGACGCGCAGGCTCAGCGGCCATGGCTCACGGGCCCAGCCACTCCACAGCATGTGGGATCTTCCCGGACTGGGGCACGAACCCGTGTCCCCTGCATCGGCAGGCGGACTCTCAACCACTGCACCACCAGGGAAGCCTGTTGGTAACAGTTTTGAAAGATCGCCTTGGCTGCTGTGTGGAGAACAGATTGTAGGAGGGCAAGCAGAGAGCCTGACTAGGGAAGTAGTGCAAAAGTTGGGCTTTCTGGGACTTCCCTGGTGGCAAAGTGGTTAAGACTCCACGCTCCCATTGCAGGGGGCCTGGGTTCGACCCCTGGTTGGGGAACTAGATCCCACATGCATGCCACAACTAAGAGTTCACGTGCCACAACTAAGGAGCCCACCTGTCACAACTAAGACCCAATGCAACAAAATAAATAAATAAATATTAAAAAAAAAAAAGTTGGGCCTTCTAACGTGACTTGGATTAGGGTGGTGACATTGATGTTGAAGAGACATAGAGAGATATTGGATGGCTTTTGGAGGTGAAGGCAAGTGGGCTTGCAGATGGTTGGATGTGGGTGACTGAGGAGTAGTAGTCTAGGATCACTTTTAGGTATGGGGTTCATGCAACTGTCTGGCTGGTGATACCACTTGCTAAAATGGGAAGGCTGGGAGAAGAACAGTTTGAGAAGGGGAATCAAAACTTCTGTTCTGGCCTTTTCACTTTAAGGTATCTACGGTTATAACAAAGAGGAGATACAAAGTAGGCAGTAATAAATATATAATGTGGACCTTATATCTATCTAAGAGGAGAAAGAGAGAGTACCTAAAGCTCAAAAGCATGGTGCCCCCTCTTCCTCCTTCCCTATTGCCCCTGCCCGGAAGGTTTTTTCCTCCATTCACTTCTTTACCTAACTCCTGTATGCCAGGAAGTCTTCTCAGATCTCTGGTCTGGGTTAAGTGACTCTCCTCTTTGCTCTGTTCAAAGATTTATCATAGAATTTAGTATATCACACTCTTGTCTCTGTAAATCTCTCTCCCCCACTATCCTGAGACTTTAGAGAGGGACCTTGTGTTATTCATCTTTGTATTCCTAGCCACTAGCAGAGTGGCCAGCACAAAGGAATTCAATGAATGCTTGATGATGAATAAAGAAAATCTATTTTATTAGGTGTATGTCCAGAGTGTCACACTGCCTAGATAGTGAGGTGAAAAAGGAAGACTCAGGCAGAAATAAAGGTAGGCACATCATGATTGGAAACATTAAATCAATGGCAAAACAGGTGGCTCACGTCCCTCTGAAGCTGGGGTTCTCAAACTTTAAGGAAACTACAAATCATCTAAGTATCTTGTTCAAACGTAGATTCTCATTCTGGAGGTCTGAGGTGGCACCCTAGATTCTGCATTTCCAGCAAGCTCCCAGGGGATGCTGGTTCTCTACTTAGATCATCTGATCCTGGGGCAGGAATTTAATATACTGTCCCTATCCCCACCTCTCCCAGGTCCTGGTTGAAAATTACTATCATTAACAAATGCTCTCATGACTAGTAGGAACTGTATTATGAATGTGAATGATGTGGAGGCAGATCCTGGACCACTCCTGCCCTGGAAGGAAGCTTCAGCCTTGCACAAGCCTCTTTTTACCTCTATCATTTTTAAAAAATTGGTGCAATGCGGAGAGTGGATCCAAATGCTCACAAGTAGGGCAGGTATCAGCCCTAGAAATTTCGAAAAGACTCTTACATGAAATTCAGGTTTCTCATTCTTGTGGATTCTTATGGCTTCAGCAACTCCAAGATTATAAGCAGCATTTTTTTGATTCTGTTCTCTACTAGCCAGACTTTGCATCTTTGAGAAAAAAAAAATCACATATTGAAATAGAGCTTTTAAAAATTTAATTCTACTGTATTAAGGTAACCCAACCAAGGTAGAAACCTGCCTTTTGGAGGCAATGGTAAATACTTTCTGATGTGTTCATAGATTTTTTTTTTTTTTAAGTGGGCTTCTGTTTCCCATTCTTGGGCTCCAGGCACCACCTCTACAGGGATCGTAAGAAGGAACGGAAGATTTCATGAGTGGTTACCTCTGGTATCACAAATGCAGGAGAGGACAGTAAGGCCAGTTATTGGAGATCACAGAAATTGGGATAAAGCAAATGCAAAGGTGCCATTCTGTCTTTACTTGAGGTAGGCCATGAATGTGAAGGGAAAAGCCCTGACTGGGATTATATTTTATGAGAAATAAAAAAATAAAGCTATATAATCCAGGAGTTCCACCTTTAAAACTCAGTCTTGGGAATTCCCTGGTGGTCCAGCAGTTAGGACTTGGCCTTCTCACTGCTAGGGGCCCGGGTTCAATCCCTAGTTGGGGAACGAAGATCCCACAAGCTGCACGCTCTGGCCAATAAATAAATAATAAAACTCAGTCTTCATGGGGGGGTGGTGGGGGGAATCAGTGACACGTACAAACATCAGCTGCATCGATATTCATCCCAAGACTGTTTACTATTAGTGAAAACTTGGACACCACCTAAGCTTTAGTTCAGCAGTAAGTAAATGGTTCAATATGTTACAGTACAGACACACGATGGAACTTTTTAAATGGTGTTTTATAATCACGTTCTCCTGTCCCATGTTAAACACTCCTTAACCGAGGTGTTGACCTACCTGCTCTTTGAAGACAGACTCTTGATCTTTCAGCATCTGATACTGCTGTAGGAGTAGCTCATCTTCCATCTCTCTCCTTTTCCTCTCCTCACCGTAGTACAATGGGAAATTCCGCTGTGCTCGTTGCAAGCATACATAACACATTTCCTGTAACACCAAGTTTCAGGGCAAATTGATTTTTACCTTTTACCTTTTTGCCTGTGCATTCCCTTCCCAAGCTCTCCAAAGGCTAGGTGTATCAAGAAGTACACTTCATAAAAGGAAGTATTAAAGATATTAGCCAAGTGAGTTTTCAGAGAAGACCCCACAAATATTCCAGAGGATTTAATAAACTCTTGCCTGCACAGATGTGTTTATAGCAACTGGAAAGTGGAGATTTTCCAACCCTATTTCTGTGAACTAGTAGATTTTGACTAGTAGATAGATTTATCCTAGTCCAATTATGGGTCCTGAGTACTTGAGCCATACCCATATATTAAAGAAAGAGCAATTCCCAGAATTCTCTCTGAGAAACAGAAGTCAGAGGAAGATTCTGACTGGGTTTTGTTTCTTTGAAGACACTGTACCTGTCCTGTCCTATTATGATACTGGCAAGAAGTGGCTGGAGAAATTTTAGGCTTCATTTCATTGTAATTTTTCAGACCACCCAGAGATCGTAATCTATAAAAAACAATGTAACATTAATTAAAGTTAACGTAGTCTGACATCAATTATCATCAATTATTAATGATAATTTTAGAAACAAGTATAAATATAGGAAAATGAAAAATATCTCAGTGGTTTTCTTTAGAGCATCTACATGTATAGAGGTTAAGAACCCAGGCTTTATATCAGATAAACCTGAGTGGGTTCAAAGCCCAGCTTTCTTTATTAGAAGCTGACTGGCATTAGACAAGCTGGGTAATCTTACAAAGTCTCAGTTACCAATTCAGTGAAATTGGGGTAAAATTTATTCATTCTCCAAAAATTTATTGAGTGTTTACTATATGTACTGCTCTAAGCATGGGAGAGGTAGTAAAGAACAAAATACACATAAAAAAAGCTCTGTCCTCATGGAATTGACATGCTGATGGGGGTAGACAGCCCATAAACAAGGTAAATGAGTGAATTCTATAGTCTGTTCAGTGATGATAAATGCCATGCAATGCTGGAGGAATGGAGTATTAAATCATGAATAGAATGGCTAGGGGAGTTTTCACCAAAAAGGTGAAATTTGAGCAGATATCTGAAGGCAGTAAAGGAATAATAATAATCAGATATCTGATGGAAAAGGACCTAGCAGAGCAAATGAGCACTAAGACCTTGAAGTGGGAGCATGCCTGTGTTCAGTATGGCTTGAGGAAGATGAGTTAGTGGGCGAAAAGTAGGAGAGAGGTCAGAGATCAGGCAGGACCTTGACGGCCACAGTAATGACTTTAGCTTTTACCCTGGGTGCGTGGAGGGTACAGTGTCTAGTATTAGCAAAGCCGTAGAGAACACAGCAGTCCCTCACATTACTGCTACTGGGGAGATAATTTGGTACAATCTTCCTGAGGATAACTGGTAATGTGTATCAAAAGCATGAAAAATGGGCTCATCCCTTATCTCCGAAATTTCACTTCAAAGTTTTTATCCTACAGAATACGCAGGTGTGTGCAGAGAATTATGTGTGATTATATTTGATACAACATTATTTATAATATAAAAAACTAAAAACCATCTAAGTATCCCACAGGAGATGGGCTAAACAAAAGGTTTAATCAATGAGATGATGAGCAACAATTTGTTCATGTTTTAGAATATTTAAAGCCATAGGGAAATTTTCACCACTTTTTGTTGTGTACCAAAGGTTCATATGATATGATCTCAGTTTTGTTTAAAATGTATCTATATGTTTCAAGTATAAATATATGTACATATTATATATGCATTGAAATGAAGGATGTACACCCATAACGTTACTGAAAGTTTCCTCTATTTAGTGGGGTTATGGGTGATTGTTTTGTATCTCTTGCTTTTCTCATTTCTTCCAAAATTTCTGTGATAAAGATGTATTACTTTAGTAATCAGAAAAAAACCAAAAACCAAAAAAAACACATTGTTTGGTCAACTTCTATAGAAAGCCTTTACTAGGAATCCCTAATAATTACTCCCTCCTCTTTGCAGCCTCTGTACTTTCTTTTGTTATCTTCATCACGGGCATTATTTCTTTAGCCTCAATCTCTCTACAAGACTAAGTTTATGAAAGTTGGTTTATACGTCTTTTATGTCTCATAGCTTTATAGCTTCAGTGTCCAAATAGTGCCTGGCACACAGTGGTGCTCAATGTTTGTTGGATTGAGCTAAATTCCAAAGTACTAGACATTTAATTCTCAATTATCTTTCATAACGAGATTACTCAAAAGAAGCATGCCTAGGGTTTTGAGCATGACTTTAGGAATCCACAAAGCACCTAAATTACACATATGATAGCTGATATATTGTGACATTAATAAATTGAAAGTTGACAGCACAGTGAAAGATATATAGTAGATGCTCAATAGATACTTATCAGAACCATAATTTCTGATCTGAGGTCTTAAAAAGTATCCTACACAAAGGGAGAGGAGAAAATAGAAATCTTCTGATATAAGAAGAAAACAGGACCATCATAAATTGTAATACATTCATTTGCTCAAAGAACATTTATTGAGTGCCAGCCATGTTTGGCAAAAATGCTTTCCAATTTGATCTAAATATGAACCTGTGTCACATCTTAATATCCACACACTCAGAAAACAACACAGGTTTTCCCAAAACCACAAGGAAAGTTAAATGTTTCCTCCTCTGTGCTACTTTGTTTCCACCTCTGTCATAGCATTTATCCTACTGAATCATAATTTATCACTCTGGCTTTCCCACAGATTGTGAGCCCTGGTCATCTTGATTATCCCCAGCACCTAGAATGTAGCATCAAGAATAGTGGATGAAGGAATGAATCAATGAACACTTATTTAAAATTCCCTGCATCAAGATAGGACTTGAAAATATACTTAGTAAAGTGCAACACAAAAAATACGCAGGGACTTCCCTGGTGGTCCAGTGGTTAAGAATCTGCATTCCAATGCAGGGGATGTGGGTTCGATCCCTGGTCGGGGAACTAAGATCCCACATGCCACGGGGCAACTAAGGCCACACGCCACGACTACTGAGCCCGAGCACTCTGGAGGCCACGTGCCACAATTAGCACTAGAGAAGCCCACACGCTGCAACAAAGAAGAACCCATGTGCCACAATGAAGACCCAGTGCAGGAAAGAGAGGGAGAGAAGGGAAGAAAAGAAAGGAAGAAAGGAAGGAAGGAAGGAAGGAAGGAAGGAAGGAAGGAAGGAAGGAAGGAAGGGGGAGGGAGGGAGGGAGGGAGGAAGGGAAGGAAGGAAGGAAGAAAAGAAAGAAAGAAAGAAAGAAAGAAAAAGAAAGAAAGAAAGAAAGAAAGAAAGAAAAGAAAGAAAGAAAGAAAGAAAGAAAGAAAGAAAGAAAGAAAGAAAGAAAAGAAAGAAAGAAAGAAAAGAAAGAAAGAAAGAAAGGAAGAAAGGAAGGAAGGAAGAAAAGAAAGAAAGAATGAAAGAAAGGGGGAGAGAGAGAGAGAGAGAGAGAGAGAGGGATAGAGGGAGGGAGGGAGGGAGGGAGGGAGGAAGAAAGAAAGGAAATACCCAATGTATTACCTTTCAATGTTCATATTCTTCCCACCACTCCCATTCTGCTCCAGTTTGTACGGGAAACTGACATTTGTTGCTTTGGTGGGGGAGATAGCTTGTCTATCTTGAATTACCTTGGGTGATAAGATCTCTGTAGAATGAATGAAAGTGAGTTTCCTTTCAACTCTACATAGGCGGTTTCTACTTAACACAGATTTTTTAAAACTCATAATTTTACTAGGGAAATTGTTCACATAAGATACACTTTCTTATCTTTAAAATATCGTCCCTTGCCCTAGTGTGGTTAAAATATATATATTTTTTGCTGTATACTTATTACATGCAAAGCTCTGGCTGGGCACTTTAGAAAATACAAAGAGGCAAGTCTCTGCCCTTAAAGATCTTTCAATAAATACAGCTGAAGAGGAAAAATAAGATATAAACAGAAAACATGAGAGCTGTCATTTGTGGAGGTCTTACCACCTGCCAACAGTACTAAGTGATTTACACACATTATATAAATAGCAACTCAGGACAATGATGCAGAATGTCTAAATCTCAAATAAATGGTGCAATCTCTAATGTTCAAAGAAGAGAGAAGCCACTTCAGAATCCACTGATGAGAGGAGTTTTCATGGAGGAAGTGAGATGTGAAAAGGGTACAAAGAGGAGAGTAGGATTGGGATAGACTGTAAAAAAAGGAAGGGAATTCCAGGCAGGAGAAAAAGAGTGAACAGAAGCATGAAGTTGAGGAAGGGCAAGGCATGTTAGAAGAGCATAAATAGACAACTTTGCTCAAAGAAAGAGTCTGTAAGGAACAGTGACAAATGAAGCTAAAGAATGAAAGCATGTGAGTATTAGGCTAAAAGTTTGTATGTAATCCTGTAGGCCACATGTCACAAAACCAACATTCACAAGCCAATGTTTACCCATTGATATATATTTTGTTTGGCCCAGTTAGCATTTTTGTTTCAATGTAAATTGGTTGCCAAAATTTAACTGTCAATAGATTTCATATGTCAGGATATCTGCTTCTCTTGAGGAATCAGAAAATTTGCTACCACTTGGCCCACATTTCCACAGATCAATAATCTGCTAGACTACTTTATCAAAGGGTAGTTTGGCAACCCCTGGGGATCCCTAGGACCCTTTCAAAAAGTCTTTGAAGTCCTAAGATTTTCTTCACATGATTCAACCAAAACAACATATCACACCAGATTATATGAAGACGCAGATATAAGAATCCACTATCTTCTATAAAGCCAGATATCAAAGATATAAAACTACCTCTCTTCATTTTTCATAAAAATTATTATTTATGCTCACATGTCTCCCTATCATGTGACACCCAGCCCAGTTCATGCATTTATGTTAGCTGCCTGGACCTTACAGGCAGCTGAGTTTTGAGCTGTGCAGAGCCAGCAAAGAGGTCACAGTTCAAGAGTCTGAGAGTCATAAAGTGGTTAAGGTGAGACACAAGATTCCAGGAATAGAAGATGTTTGTTAGAGAGAAGAATACAGTGATTATTCATGAAACTAACTTTATTTACTCTGGCCATAGGAGTTGCTAAGCAGTATGGCTTGGCTCATAAGTAGTAAAGAGTGACAGATTATACCCAGAAATCATCGACCTACCTCGGACGCCTTCTTCTTTGTCTGACTGGTCTTTTAACTTGCTCTTCCTTTGTCCATTCTGTCCACCTTCTTCTGCAGTGGTCTCCATAGGCAGTTTGTTCTCCATCTCCTTGAGCTCAATCCTAGGAATGAACCAAGATACTTGTCCATAAGTGACTGTGTAAACTCCCAGTTCTGAGAAGCAGCCATGCTTGCTCACTGATTCTGAATGAAATAAGCCTACTTCTCTCAAGGAGGCAAGTGCTTTTATTTACTAAGTACAAATCATGGACTCATTCTCTTTGGGAGCCAACGACGACCCTCCCCCTTTTTATATAGATAAACTGCTTTGAAGACCTGGATTTAAGTTTTGTTTTTTATATCAGCTTGAATTTGTCTTTTCTAGTTCTGTAACCAGATGCCATAGGCCTGAAACAGTGAAAGGTAGTCATTGGATAGCTTGAAGGCAAGGATTCATAGCCTGGTAGGCAGGGTACGCCCAGAAAAAACCACTCCTCTCCTCCCTCTTTCTCCTCCCCACTTCTCCATCCTCTCCCCAGGCAAAAGTGAGGGACTTGCAAAGGCAAGGGAGGAAGGGGTTTGTTTAGTTGGTATGTGTAGTTGTAGATTTTCTCTGGTCTCAGGAACGGAGTGCTGGGTTAGAGTTGGGAAGGAAGGGTGGGGCAGAGGTGGTACTTGCAGTAAATTCAAGGGTCAGACTTCAAATAAATGAAACACCTACAGTTGTTTTGAATATTTGAGTCCTCATGTCCATTTCTAGGCTACTTGACAGGAACTTCCATCTCTGTTCCTTAACTAACTGCAATTATTTCCCTCCTGGATTGCTTAAGCCAAACTATGTCCAGGAGGACAGCCAAATTTGCCTTCCAAAATATAATCAAAAGAAAACTATTTGGAAACCACTGATTTATATTTAATGAGTAAGGCAACATGCTACAATGGAAACAACACTGAAACAGTCAGGAGCCATGGTTTTATTTCTGGATTGGCCCCTCAGTTTTGTAACCATTTCATCTGTAAGATGAGGGGATTGGACTCATTAATCTTTAAGGCTTATTCTCCCCCTTACACTGATTTTGCTGAGGTCTGTGGCATACAGTTTTTCCAGGAGGGACTTGTTCCAAACCAACAAACACAAGAGGGTGTCACAGACTCAAAAACATGAGAAAGAAAAAAAGAGAGAGAGAGAGAAAATAATACTTTGGGAAGCTGGTTACTATTTCCTAAACTTCCTTTACCCAAAATGCATAGCAGTTAATGGCACAGCAATTAAGATTAAAAACATTATTAAGAGCTAATAATGGGTAAGTAATGAACAAACTGGAAATAAAACCCAAGTCTCCTGATTCCTATTCCAGTGCTTTTAATACTGCATCCTGTCACTTCACTTGTTAAAAAAAAAAAAAAAGAATTAAAATTACATGCTGTACACCTAAAACTAACACAACATTGTAAATCAACTATACTCCAATAAAAATTTTTAATTAAAAATTTAAAAAAGAATTAAAATTACAACTAATTTTGCTCCTCTATAAAGTGAATAAAATTATAATATGTATCTCAAATGGTTGTAGTAAAGATTAAATACAAGACTACTGAGAAAGTGCTTAACAATACCTAGCATCTAGTAAGTGCTCCATAGATAACTATCATTGCTATTGTTATCATTATTGTTATCATTACCATTATTGTAATCATTGTCAGCAGCAGCTGCTGGTAATGCCCACTATGCTCTTGGAGTGAAGCTGTATCTTGTCTTTCTAGCTGCTTCAGTGGTAAAAAACAGAGCTCAGAGAGGAGGTAGTCTAGATGGCAGGACAAGGAAGAAACTAGGTCAGAGAAGGGGTGAAAGGTAGAGCAAAGCCTAGCAAGTGAGAAGAATTTTACTAATACTGCAAGGACTAAGGTTGGTGGGAGGTAGTATGAAAATTTCCAGGGAACCAAGAATAGTTTAAAAAAAGAGTATCCTAAGTGCCGTTGTCTTTTAACTTAACTACAGAAAGTGTATGCAATAAACTCTTATTTGTTGGAGCACTGAGAGCAACAGAGAGAGATAGAGAGAGAGAGCATGAGCTAGAAAACTCAAGTGTGACACACTGTCCAGTTCCATCAATAGGTCCCCAGGGATTGCTGTGCCTGGAGGAAACTGTGGAGGAAAGCACTGACCTTGGAAATGAAAGCATGCTGTTGGGCCGGTTCCCCAAGGATTCTCTGCTAGACAACACTGAGTCCACAGTGTCAGGCCTCTGGGGACAGGGACAGAGACAGGTTATACTTGGGCTGTGGTCCAGGACACAGAAAAATCAGAGCCACAGGGTGCTCAGAAGCCTCAGACTACCATGATACTCTCTACTGTTATTTTTGTTTAGTACTCAAAGCCTAGAGCTTAAAATGCAATGAGGAATGGGCTTCCCTGGTGGCGCAGTGGTTGAGAGTTCGCCTGCCGATGCAGGGGACACGGGGTTCGTGCCCCGGTCCGGGAAGATCCCACATGCCGCGGAGCGGCTGGGCCCGTGAGCCATGGCCGCTGAGCCTGCGTGTCCGGAGCCTGTGCTCCGCAACGGGAGAGACCACAACAGTGAGAGGGTACCGCAAAAAAAAAAAAAAAAAAATGCAATGAGGAATGATCTCATTTATCAAAGTAGTCACCCTGCATTGTTGCATACCAATTCCATTGATGCTGCCTTTTCTCAAACCATTTCCTCCTTGGAAACTGCCCTCAGAGTTGACAGCTCCTTTCAGACATCTTTAAGAGGACAGCCAATTTACTAAAACTCTTAGGAAAATGAGCAAGTTGGCTAATTCCACTCATGACCCAAATAACTCTAAAACTGGGTAGTTAAGAGAAGGGCTTTGGAGTCAGGCATCCTCATGTTTAAATCCTCACACTGTTAACAGCCACATAGCCTTAGACCCTAGGTACGTGGGGATAATAATAGGATCAGATTCACAGGATTTTTATGAGGTACTGTATATAAGTGGCAAGCACATATAAGCATTCCACAAATAGTGGCTATTATAATTATTATATATAATAATATTCTAATATATAATATTATATATGACTTAAATTATAATTATATAATTATAATATATAAGTTATAAAATATATAATAAAATAATAATCACATTATTAAATTTATACTAGTATAGAATGATATATAAAATTATTCTTTTTGGATTAATGATATGGTTTATAAAAGGCTTTGAAGGGGATTCCAAAAGCAGAAGTTTTAAAAATATTTCAAGAAAAGCAGCATCAGTGAAGTTAGCACACAGCTTTCCAAGAGAACTCTTCGGCAGGACAGCACTCAGGTTTACGTTATGGAACATTTAGGAGAAAAACAGTCACTCTCACAACTTTATAGCAGTTTCCCAAAATGTGTTTTATAGACGTTAATGAATATTGACTCAACCTAAATTTCCATGATTAAATACATTCGGGCAGTTAAAGCAGCTTCTTTCCAGCCAGACCTCTCAGATCCTTTAATATGCCCATGTGCTTTGGCCTCCAGATTGTTTTTTCATAGAATCTCTCTCAAGACTAGTTCTTTTGGAACATGCTCCTTAAAAGGTATGTCTTAGAGTGCAGCAGTCCAATTAAAACATTATCCTTTCTTTTAAACTCATATTGAAGCTTACAAATTTCTGTAGAATCCCTGAGGGTGAGAGATGAAGCAGCACTTTGGCCTTGCTTCTAGTTTTGCAAATCTTGCCTGTTTTTATGAAAAAGAGAGGGTGATACTTGTGTGTGTGTTTCCACTTTGCACACACAGGTTTGGCATCCCTCTTAGCAATCCTGTATGAAGCCAGAGTGTGGAGAAAACACCAAGAGCTTCATTATGCACAACTCCGTCTCCTAAATACCCATCCCAGAGCACCACGACAGGAGAAGTTAGAGGGTAGAATTAAACCATATTTATAACATTTCCTTTCATAGCCTTTTCATTTAAAAGTCTGGCTTTTGTTCTATGGGACACAGGATTATATAACATTCATGATAAGCCAATTTGCTCATACAAACTCAGTACATTAAGATTCAGTTAGTCCTGTCGATTGACTGTTTAACTGCCTTCTTAAAGTCTGCTATGTCCAACTTAGCATGAAGGTCACACCAGCTATTTAACGGTTAACAGTGATGGGTCAATTATGAAATTTCTTCTACAACAATGCAAATTAAAAGATAAAGATACATTTCCATGACTTGAATGCGATTTTTCTGTAGACTTTCATTGAAATAAAATAGTGTAATCAGCACAAAAAGAGTAATTAGGAAGTCTGGGCTTGAATTTCAGTTCTACGGCAGGGCACCCAGACTTCAGGTTCCCACATAACCTCTCTGAGTCCCCATTTTTCTCATTGGTAAAATCAGGATAATAATTCTGGTTTTATAATGTTTTGAGACCCAAATGAAATAATATATGTGGAAGAATTTTTTAAACCATAAGGTATTATAAAATGTTCAGAATTATAAGAGTTTCTATCACTATATTTTTCAGGTGGCATTGCCTTAAAACTTAAAGTTCCTTAGCCCCTCTAACTTTTTTGTCAGAGAGTTAATCATCTATAAACAAGTACTTCTTTGACTTGAGGTAACTGCCATTTAAAATATGTCAGGCTTCCCTGGTGGCGCAGTGGTTGAGAGTCCACCTGCGGATGCAGGGGACACGGGTTCGTGCCCCGGTCCGGGAAGATCCCACATGCCGCAGAGCGGCTGGGTCCGTGAGCCATGGCCGCTGAGCCTGCGCGTCCGGAGCCTGTGCTCCGCAACGGGAGAGGCCACAACAGTGAGAGGCCCGCGTACCGCAAAAATATATATATATAATAATAAAATATGTCAACCTTAGTTTTTCTTAAAGATGACCCATTTACAGATGATTCAGAGCTACAATCAGGAAAGGGGTTAGGAGAAGGAAAATATTAATTTACATTTGCTAGGGCTTTCGCCAAAGCCCCACTTCCATCCATTGTAAAAAGGAAGTTCTTATAAAATCTCATCTTCACATTGCCACCTCTGATCACAAGGACCCCAATTCCTTTGAATGTAAACTCCACGTTTTGTTTGGTGGAAATGGATCGTGATAAAAAAAGCGACGTCTCCTTCACACATCTTTCCACCGTATCTCTGTTAAATGGACCCTCTAGGGATATCATGACAAAATTAAGTGGAACAACTGGGATATCACCTAGAGGAGAAAAAGACAGTTGGGGTGAGGGGAAAGAAGTGGAAATTACAACAAGGACATATACACGCTCACAAATAATTATCTGATTCTCAGTTAATACTCAAAAATAGAACTGTCCATGTGAAGCCTTTAGTTGCACCCTATTAATAGATATTAATCAATACAATTTTCCCTAAAAGTAGAATGTTTTTTGCTCAAAATAAGAACAAATAGCTTCCTAAGCAATACTCCAGACAAGATTTTTATTTTCTCTTGGAGACATATTTATAACTAACTGTTCCTCTTCATCAGAGGGTTTTCTGAAGTTTTCAGTCCCCTTTCAGGACACGCTGCAGCAATATTTGCCTCTCTTCTCCAGTTATCATAACATTTAAAAATGATTATAAATATCTACAAACATTAAGTGTTTTGAAAAGATAGTTATCTCCACTAGAAGTCACCTTTCAAACAAAAGTGGGTCTTATCAGAGGGTATCAGTCTGAGTGACTTGCAGACAGCTTTTCCTCTCTAATGAGCCCATAAATGGCAGTGCAGGGGAATATGGTTATATCTAGCATGAAAGTAAGCACAGAGTCTATTCAACTAGAACAGATATAGGAGCTATGCACAGTCCACAAGTCAGAAAAGAGGGAAAATAGGAAAGATGATAAATTGAAAGAGAGACAGTAGACAAGGTCCACTGATAGAGGACCAGGACAGAGAGAAGATAGGGACATTCTAAACATTCACTCGGCAAAACATTAATTTAGAGCCTTTCCAATGTCTACTGCTGCTGGATGATGAGAATTACCAGCTCTGCAGTACACAAGCTTCCCTATATCAGCCCACAGCCTCCTGCTCAATTTAATGGTGATTCTATACCATCTCCCCCTAGATTCTCCCCTCCCATTTGCCCAACGCCTATCTGCAATCTGTCTTCCAGCCCATTTATATAAGGATGCTGTCATCTCACGATGGACAAGCCAGCAGAGACACTGCAAATCTCATTCTCATGGCTTCTCTGTAACTTCTGGGGGCTATACCCTCGCTTTTCACTTGTATCCATGGCACCACTCTTGGCTCTCCAATTTCCTCCTCCTTGGTCTCTTTTGCTGGCTTCCTTCCCCTTCTGCTTCTTATAAGATGGTGTTTGTTTTAACACCATCTTAGGATTTTGTCTTTGTCGGTCTCCTCTTCTTACTTTATATTGTCTCCTAGGTAAATCTATCCTAATCCTGACCTCTAGTCTCCAGCCCTCTCCTGACCTCTGAAATTATCTATACCTAAACATCCTGACAGGAGGGCTTCCCTGGTGGCGCAGTGGTTGAGAGTCCGCCTGCCGATGCAGGGGACACGGGTTCCTGCCTCGGTCCAGGAAGATCCCATATGCCGCAGAGCGGCTGGGCCCGTGAGCCATGGCCGCTGAGCCTGCGCTTCTGGAGCCTGTGCTCCGCAACGGGAGAGGCCACAACAGTGAGAGGCCCACGTACCACCACAACAAACAAACAAACAAACAAAACATTCTGACAGGAATCTCAAATTCAACATGTCCAAAAGCAAACTCATTATTTTATCTGCCACCACAGCCTGCCTTTCCCCTTCATTCCCTATGGCAGTTAATGGCATGAGTATCCATCTATTCTCTGAGAAATCCGAGTCATCCTAAATACCTTCCTTCCTCTTGCTACCCACCGCTGTCCACTGGTAACCAAATCCCACCAGTTCTACATCTGAAATATCTCATGAGTAGATTCCCTCATCTTCCTCCTGATTGCCACTGCCTTCATTCAGGCTTTCATATATTTTACCAAACTACTTTACTTAAAAGAGCTACCTTCCTAAACTAAAAACTGGACCAGTACAGATAATCCCCTGCTCAAAAAATGTCGGGGCTTCCCTGGTGGCACAGTGGTTCAGAGTCTGCCTGCCAATGCAGGCGACGCAGGTTCGTGCCCCGGTCCGGGAAGATCCCACATGCCGCGGAGCGGCTGGGCCCATGAGCCATGGCCGCTGAGCCTGCGCGTCCAGAGCCTGTGCTCCGCAACAGGAGAGGCCACAACAGTGAGAGGCCTGCGTACAGCAAAAAAAAAAAAAATTAAAAAAAAAATGTCAGTGGCTCCTAAGTGCCTAGAGGATGAATTCCATAGTCCTTATCAAACCATATAAGGCTCCTCACAATTTCACACTTACAAACCTCTTACTTCCCTCTACTTGCCTCCACAGTCAAATGCCCTGGCCACACAGAAGCACCTGTTATTCCCTTAACAGGCATCACTCTTTCCCTTCTGCTTGAATTGTTCATACTGTTCCTGAAATGCCTTCCACTGTCAGCAAAATCTTATCATCCTTTAAGACCTCCTGGCATGGCATCCTCCTAAATCTCCCCAAGCAGAGTAAGGCATCCTCCCCTCTGGGCTCCCGTGGCATTGATCCAGTTCTGCTCAATGATCCAGTTCTGATCAATGTTGCTTTTACAGGACTTAATCATGTTGCATCATTTTCTTATATATTTATCTACCATGCTACATTCTGAGCTCTTCAAAGCAAGGACCATGTCTTAATAATCTTTAAGAATCACTGTACAATGTTTGATTAGTTACCTAATTAATGATGAAGAATCGTCACCCCAAAGCTAAACTGTCGGGAATTCCCTGGCAGTCCAGTGGTTAGGACTACGTGCTTTCACTGCCAAGGGCCCGGGTTCTATCCCTGGTCGGGGAATTAAGATCCCACAAGCCGTGCAGCATGGCCAAAAAAAAAAGCTAAACTGTCTTTGTTCTTATGAATGAGTTCAATCATACATGTTTAATTCTGAAATTTCCCCCACCTCCTGAAAAAATTAATTATAAATCTAAAGTACTTTTTTGGACCACACTACAAAATCCAAGATGCAAAATAAGCCCTGTTCTAAGGCACAAATGTTTTTGCAAAATATAATGGCTTTATTTTCACTCCATTTGGTAGGTTTTTGATAAATTAGGATATTATATTTCTTCTGTCATAAAATTCTAGGTTAAAAAATAGGCTGGAAAATCCGTCAAACTCACCATACAGAATATATGCATAATGAATTCTAAGTATAGTTTATTGGTGTTTGTTTGTTTTTCCAATATATCATTTTTTGGTGGAAAGTTACTCTGAAAATTAACCTTCAGGGTTGTTAACATAAAGGAAAGTTTCAGCCTTTTCACCTGTTGGCATTGGGGATAGACGATCTCTCTTCATCCATATATGAGTCTGATGCACAAGGGCATGATAAGGAAGATCAAAAGGAATACAACCAGAAATTAGGAAGGAAGCCCCCAAAGGCCTCTAAGTAACCAGGGCAGGTGTCACAAAGCCACACATTAAAGCTGGAATTCAAGCGTCCTGTGGCAGGCATCATGTCTCCCACAATGTCTCTAGCACCTGGAACAAGGCCTGACACATAGCTGGCCCTCAGTAAATATTTGTGGAAGGAAGGAAGGAAGGAAGGAAGGAAGGAAGGAGGGAAGGGAGGGAGGGAGGAAGGAAGGAAGGAGGGAAGGGAAGGAGGGAGGGAGGGAGGGAACAAGGAAGGGAAGAAAGAAGGAAGATTTTAGGGTGTGAGAGGTATATACGGTATTAAGTCTTTACGGAATTATTAAGCTTCTAATAACTTTTAAATTTTAATAATTTAGATTATATACAATAGAAACACAGTAATCTTTTCCTAGCTGATATTAACTGCGATTCTTCCAACCTGTGACCCTAACTAACTTTCTCTTCTTTATAACCACTTTTAATTTCTTAGGATCTGAAATATGAATAAAAATCTGTATGACTTGGTGATGTCACTTTTATATAAATCTGCCTTGATGTCACATCAGGTTTTAAGCTACTGAGGTTTAAAATGGCCCACAGGAAGACTGTATATAATTTCCTACCTTGGCCGCTCACTCTGCCAAATGTACCACGTGAAAAGAGCTCCTCACATCAGAAACCAATAAAGCAGCAACTGGGCAAGCTTTGCCCTTTCATTTTTATCCCCAGGCTGGTCACCTTCTGGGAAAGTCTTAAAAATGAAATATATTTACCAGGAGTATGTACTTTGTTTTGTTTGAGTCCATGGGTCTGTACTAACTTCTCCACCATGATAAATATGGGCCTCTGAATTAGAATAAACTTGTTGTTTCCCACCTCCAGTTTTTGTCTCGTGAAAGTGAAAGTTCCAAGTCCTGGAATCTGAACTCCCTGAGCAGACAAAGAAGGGGAAAAAAAACAACAAAGAGAATTCACTGTAAATGTAAAGAAAAATAATCCTTAGCATTGTTATCCCAAAAAACATGAAGAAAATTTTAAGGCATGAGCCTTAAAATTCAATGATCTTTATGATTCCTTACAGCTTTAGTATTTTATGACTCTAAGTTTTCAAATAAGTATAAAATGTATCAATCCACGATGCGTTTCTGATCCTTCATCTCCATATCATTCAAAGGCTATGAGGACTAAGAAAACTTGTATGGATGCCATAGCTGCTTTTAATCTATATCTAAGATTACTCTTGTCCTAAATTGTGTGACATTTTAAATTTTAATTCCTTGCCATCAGAGGGGGATTCAAGGGGTCATGAGAATCTCTGCTTTCTCATTCTTTTAGGTTTTATGTCCCTCACTTAAAATCAGACAACACAAAACATCCAAGACACATGCTGCAGTGTGGTGATCTTGGCTAAGGGTAGAAGCAAACACTCCTGGCTCTCACACTGGGTCTCTGTCTCCCTGGAAATATCATACATCAAGGGTTACAAACTCAAATGCCTACAGGAGCAAAGAAAGAATGCAACAGAGTGAAGGTATCAAGCCAGAGAATGTGATGGCTAAGGAGTGCATGTCTCATCTAAAGGGGAAAGCCCCTTGTCAGCTCCAGCCAAGTGTCACATGTAGGGAAGGAAAACTGGTATCGTTAATCTGCTGATTTTTTGAGAAAATAAATACAAAACTTTGTATAAACTCTTCCAATTTTAAGTGCTCAGGACTAATTCAAATCATCAGACCAAATAAAATAGGTTTCAAGGATGCATTCAGCTCAAGAGCTGTCATATTGGGACCTCTGAGCAGGGTATAAAACTTTCACAACATTCCAGCTCCCTCCAAACTCCCCAAATCTCCGATCAGTTCTTTGGTATCCAAACTTAAGACTTGATGGGAGGAAATAGCCCAGCCCTGGGCAAAGTTTCTCACTTTTGGCAAGTTGAGTTCAGTTCCTGACTGCCTTCTTATATTTCAATTAAAATCCATCCCCTGCAAAGAGGCAAAACAAAAAGCATCATATCCTTCTATAGCCACGCCAGGAACTATCAGATCACAGATGAACAGAATTCACCTACTTCGTCTACATGCACCCGGGCTGACCAGCGATACACTTCCTATCTCCAAGGGAGCAGAACTTTCAAATTCATTACCTAAGGGTGAAATCCATGTTTGTTAAATCTACTACCCACAAGTCCTAAGTGTGAGCATCATAAAATCCCCAAACTGGGGTTTCCCTGGTGGCGCAGTGGTTGAGAGTCTGCCTGCCGATGCAGGGGACACGGGTT